GTCTATATTTGGTTATGTCATAATTTTGAGAAAAATGATGTCAAAGTGGTTAAAAACAACAATTTTGAGAGTTTCTATGATGCTGTAATATTGATAGCAAATTTTTTCGTCAATGTCAAGTTTTGTTAATGCTTTGTAAAAGTATCAACTTTTAGTTTTAAAATGCATTTTGCATGATATTTTGTTTTTGAGATATTGAAATTTGAATATAGCTTTTTTTTCATATAATACATAAAGAGAAGAAGTATTTCATTCCATCTTAATACTGCATTATGTGAAAAATACTTTTGTACTTACATATAATAATCATATTAAATAAAAAAGCAATATTGAAATTGACAAGATATATAGTATTTTTTCAAACAAAATAATGTTCTTGCTATATTGCATTTTGTCAATTTCATATTGCCTTTTGATTTAATATGATCCAATCATATTATGTAAGTACAAAAATATTTATTTGCTATACAATATAGTATTAAGATAGAATAAAAGCCTTTTCCATATATTATATGGAAAAAAAGCTATTTTCAAATTATATAACTATATTTTAAAAACAAGATATCAATCCGAAACAAAACAAAATGCATTTTAAAGCTAATAGTTGATATTTTTGTCTAGCATTAACAAAATTTGGAAAAAAAATTTGCTCTCGGTGCTACAATGTCATAAACATCCTAAAAATACTCGTTTTTGGCTATTTTGACACTATTTTTTTAAGTTGTGACATGATAGATAAATTTGGACAACAGATTTGTGTTCAACAGACAAAAATATATCAGAAATGACTATTCATTCTCATGTTGTAAAAGAAGATCAAATTTTGGACAGTGTTATCAAAATATAGTAAATAACCTCACTTTTTTTTACAATGCATATATTTGTTAACTCGTTTCATTGATTCCTTATTAGTTATATATTTATTATATGTACAATTGAGAAAGAGGGTTAGGTTTGAAGCAAAAAAAAATGATTTTAGATATAATAATAAAATAGTAATAGACGCAGACATTTGATTAACATAGGAAGCTCTGGATCAAGCAGTGAAGAAAGATATGAAATCAAACCCTGATAACATTCAAGAAGCCATTTTAGCAGTTGAATTAGTTTATAAGCAATCCATGTATGGATATATGGGAAGCGAGAAATTGTCGTTTTTGAAAATTACAGTAGCAATTCCAAGATTGATAGCACCTTGCAAAAGATTACTGGAACAGGACATGGTTTACACTATGTTTAATCATCATTATAAAGCCTTTGAAAGCAATATCGATTTTGATATCAGGTACATGTTAACAATTATTAATTATTATATATTATACTTTTATTAAAAATTTGCTATCTTTTTATATTTGAATATTTATGCAAGGTTTATGGTTGACACATCAGTAGTTGGCTGTTCTTGGATAGAATTGACACCAAAAACCTGGAAATTACGTGGTCAATATGGACACGAACTGGAGTTAACTACACGATGTCAGTTGGAAGTAGATGTTGCATGGGATGCTTTTATAGCTCACGCACCGGAAGGAGAATGGTCGAAAATAGCTCCATTTAGAATTCTCAGTTTCGATATTGAATGTGCTGGACGTGAAGGTAATTATTGCGTTTTCGTAACTATGAAGTTATCTTATTATGAAGTTATCCTACTATATAAAGCCCCTTATAAATATTTCTTGCAGGTATCTTCCCAGAAGCAAAACACGATCCAGTGATACAGATCGCTAATATGGTTATAAGACAGGGCGAATCAGAACCATTTCTAAAAAATATATTTACTTTTGGCACTTGCGCGCCTATCGTCGGTTGTCAGGTGTTGAGTTTTAAAAAAGAGAGTTTGATGTTGGAGGTGCGCCAGTTAAAATATAAAATATAGGAAAATATAGAATATATTTACAATTATCTAGTATTAACTGTTCATTACAAAATGATCTTTTCTGTTGCAAGAAATGGGCCGATTTTGTGCGACAGTTAGATCCTGACATTTTTACTGGATATAACATTAATAACTTTGATTTCCCATATTTAATTAATCGCGCACAACATCTCAACGTTCAGAACTTCAGCTTTCTTGGCCGAGTGAAAAACATAAAATCTGTCATCAAGGATCATGTGTTACAAAGCAAACAGCTGGGCCGTCGCGAGAATAAGTCGATTAATTTTGAAGGAAGGGTACCGTTTGACTTATTGCTGGTAAAGAAATCAATATGATAAATACAATCGAATTCTTTGTATTGCAGTTTTAATGAAAATACAAAAATGTATACTAGGTATTGGTCCGAGATTATAAATTGCGATCTTACTCTCTAAATGCAGTATCATACCATTTTCTTCAAGAACAAAAAGAGAATGTTCACCATAAAGATATTACTGGTTTGCAAAACGGAAATGAACAGACACGACGACGTCTTGCTGTATATTGCTTAAAAGATGCATACTTACCGCTTAAGTTGTTGGACAAATTAATGTGCATAATTATCTATATGGAAATGGCAAGAGTCACAGGAGTATCTATTTCCAGTTTATTAACTCGTGGGCAACAAATTAAAGTTGTTTCTCAACTTTTACGTAAAGTACGAAAATTTTCATCTTCGACAAAGAATAGATAGTCACTTTTGTATTAATGTAAAATCGAATATTTGTTAATATATTTAATGTATATAATTATTTATATAATGTTATTTATCATAATGTTTTGTCGATAGACACGGGAGAAGGATTATCTGATGCCTGTGCATCAAGGTCACGGTACCGACGAGCAATACGAAGGAGGCACTGTTATAGAACCAAAACGTGGCTATTACAATGATCCAATTGCTACTTTGGATTTCAGTTCTTTATATCCCAGCATCATCATGGCACATAATCTATGTTACACGACATTATTAACCGTTGCTAAGAAGAAGGAATTGAATATTCCGGAGGACAATATTAATACAACCCCAAGCAATTCGTTATTTGTCAATAGCTCCGTGAGAAAAGGTATCCTTCCTGAGATTTTGGAAAATTTATTGACAGCCAGGAAAAAAGCAAAAGCGGAATTGAAACAAGAAACAGACCCGTTAAAGCAGAAAGTACTTGATGGTAGACAATATGCTTTAAAAGTTTCCGCAAATTCCGTGTATGGTTTCACAGGAGCACAAATGGGGAAATTACCGTGCTTGGAAATATCTGCTGTAAGTTGCTGATCAATTTTCCAAACGTAATGTAAAGAATAAAGTCAGTGTCCCAATTGATAACGAACCTCATCGTGAAAATAAATTTATAAGTTGGTGATACATGTGTGAAGCCAAATACATAAAATTTATTTCGTTTAAAAGTTTGAACATTTATATTCTAAATGTATTTTTTTCTAATTTATGGTATAACCAATTAATATATCTTCTCCAAAGTACGAAGTGCCATTTAGTAACATGTAACTTTGATTTGTTCTAATTTATGACATATATATGCCTATATTACTGAAAGGTAATGAACGTACACAGATAGCTTTATTACTGACAGACAAAAGTCGCTATTCAAATGACACAAATTAGTACAGATTCGTGAACTTTCATATTACTGACTTAAATATGTCAATTGACAAGCTAAGAACTCGTATTTATACTATTTGTACTAAATTCTGCAGGGGTAAGTTATTGATATTATTTCTTAACTTTATAATATATAAAATTTACAATTCACATTTCCTCTTGAGAAATAGGAACATTTCTATCATTTTATGTCATATTTATTTAGATAAAAATGGAGACAAATAAATATTCTAATACAGATTCTGATATATGTGTGTTAACTATAAGAATATATACTTTGTTATTTTTTTGGTTTGTAAATTATTCTTTAATTTTTTTTCGACTGACAATACGATTTTAATTATTTGAAGTTAAGAAATAGCTAAGAAATGCCAAATAGACGGTTTATATCAATGACCAAGTTCTATGATGTCTAAGATGACTAGTGATCCTGATGAACTGTTTGAACTATCGCCATTAGCAGCATGCTTATAATTATTTTTTTATTTTAACATTCCCTATAGTTTTTAATTTCATTTGCAATTAATTTCATTTGATTTAATTATAACAAATAACATGTAAAATTTAGAGTAAAAATTTTTAGGATAACTTAGGACACATTTTTTAGGATAAATATGGAGTTATTATATGAAGTATTACGTCTTATTAAAGAAAACAGATATTCTATTGTCACAAGTTGGGACATTCATCTTATATTACATACGCAGTATAAATTGTAGGGCGTTACCGCTTACGGACGTACTATGATCGAACGAACGAAACAAGAAGTGGAAGAGCATTTCCGAGTAGAGAATGGGTACAAAAACGATGCGATAGTTATATACGGCGACACCGATTCAGTCATGGTGAAATTCGGTGTGAAATCTATAGAAGAAGCAATGAAACTCGGCAAAGAGGCAGCCGATTATGTCTCGTCCAAATTCATTCAACCTATAAAACTGGAATTCGAAAAAGTATATTTCCCGTACCTCTTAATTAACAAGAAACGTTACGCTGGTTTGTACTTCACGAAACCTGATAAATACGATAAGATGGATTGCAAAGGTCTCGAGACTGTACGCAGAGATAACTGTCCATTGGTCGCAAACATGATGAATACCTGTTTGCAAATATTACTTATCGAAAGGTACTTATTAATTTTTTTACGCTTTTTCTGCGTTTTTATCAATTTAGTAACGTTGGTATGCCATTGTCACAGGAACCCACATGCTGCCGTGGATTATGCTAAACAAGTCATAAGTGATCTTCTCTGTAATCGTATCGATCTCTCTCAATTAGTCATCACGAAGGAATTAACGAAGACTGATTACGCGGCAAAGCAAGCACACGTCGAATTGGCGACAAAAATGAAGAAACGAGACGCCGGGACCGCACCGAAACTCGGCGACAGAGTGGCGTACGTGTTCATAAGTGCAGCCAAAGGTGCTCCGGCGTATCAAAAAGCGGAAGACCCCGTTTATGCGTTGGAGAACAGCATCCCAATCGATACGAATTACTATCTAGAGAATCAATTGGCAAAGCCTCTGGTACGTATCTTTGAGCCTATTCTTGGTGACAAGGCGGAATCACTTTTGCTCAAAGGAGACCACACGCGTACCAAATGCATCGCTACTTCGCAAGTTGGGGCGCTGGCAGCTTTTACGCGTAAAAAGGAGACTTGCTTGGGATGCAAAGCCGTCTTACCAGTGGACAGAGAAGATAAAGCAGTGTGCAAGCATTGCGAATCTTACGAAAGCGAGTTGTTTCACACCGAGTTGCAGGATCAACACAAGTTGGAGGAGAAGTTCTGCAGACTGTGGGCGGAATGCCAAAGATGCCAAGGAAGTCTTCATCAAGAAGTGATCTGCTCAAAGTTGGTTGAATTAATTAATGCAAAACGAGATACTTTTCGAGAGAAGGATATATTATTTCAAACACATTTGAGCGTTTATAATTATATTCACACGTATAATAACGACAAATACCGATGATTTATACGCTCCAAAAAATTCATTTTCACTTTCAAGTACATGATTTCAGCCGTGACTGCCCGATATTTTACATGAGGGTAAAATCTCGAATGGACATGGCTGCGAAAGTCAAACGTATCCAAAGGTTTGGCGTTCCGGAATGGTAATGAAGACAATGATCACACGTTAGGTAAGTTTATTTTATGTATAAAAGCTACTATCACCCGCACACGCATATCAAAGTTGTCAGTTACACGATAGCCAATTAATAATTTGTAATAAAGCCAATATTGAAATATTTATTACTATATATATATATATATATATAGTATTTATAATATATATATATAGTAATAAATATTTCTATATATATATATATATATATAATATTGATCAGTACATAAATTATATCAAAATTCAAGGGATGCTACTCATTACAAGTATATATAATATAATAAGTATATATTGCAAACTTTCATTTTTATAACTCTCTCTTCCTATTATTAACCGGTGATCTACTATTTGGCATATTTATTAAATGCTGACACCATAAAAATCAATTATTTCAATTAAATATTTAATGTAATTCTCGAAAAATGGAACTTATATAAAAGACTTGAAAACTGGTATCCCTTGTCTTGCAATATTAATGCGAATTTTTCACCGTGGCAGCATTAATTTTATTTTACTTATGTGGTTTAACAGCTTTTATAAATACTAGTATGATATTGCATTGGTCTTATCTGCTCTTGAGCCTTGATTTATGTTCACTTTATTAACATTATAAGTGCTTGGAAAAAGTACTTGAAAATTTGAGATGGTATGTACCACTCTTAAGATAATAGTATGTTTTGTACAAATATAATCTAAGCGCTAAAACATTTTCGCTTTACAAATACGAATTTTCTTAAAATATTCACTTCAATTTTATTCGTTTTTAGTAATTGCGCGTTTTTATAGGTACGTGTGTGTACTTGTTATAAATTTATGTCATAATTTTATATTAAATTTAATCATCATCAAAATTAAATAGCGACATGGTTTGTTTAATTGAGATTGTGTGATAAAATTCAATAAACTAATGGAGATTATTGCGCACATATTCAATAATATAAAAGATATCTATTAACCCTTTGCGGACGCGTGTCACCAAATAGCCGCCCATGCGTATTTATCGTTCTGAGCGACAAGGCACACAGTATCATAATATAATAAACACATAATGCCACAATGTAGTGCTCATGTGACGTTTTCTTCGGAAGAAAGTCATCAGACCTCGATGTATTGCTTATCTTCCTTTAGTATATTTTCTTGGCTCCATGCCCCGATACTTCTCGTCCACAGCGACGTTCGCCCGCCAGACGTCCGCAAAGGGTTAATAAAGAAAAAAATCTAAGTTGAAAGAATTCTCTAAGTTTATTATACTTTTCGTTTTTAAATCGTATAGAACGATTAAACATATATGATTCTCTTATCATCGTATGATCATGTATGTTTTGTGGTATGAAAAAGTATGACGATTCCTTATATACTTCGGCTGTAGACTGCATAAAAGAAATATTTATAATATAATAATTATAATAAATATAAACAAAAATCTACTATCGGCAACACAATGCTGCTGGCGACAAATTCAAAGTGACAGTCGTACAACTAGTCTCTTTGTAAAGCTCAAACAAAAATAATTCTCACATAATATCGATCATTTTCTACTTTGCAGTGCGTTCGATAACCAATCCATCGCTTGATCAAGTCCTTCACCTTTCGTCGCAGAAGTTTTGAATATTTGGAAGGTTCTATTTTTAAGAGCATCCAATCCAAGTGCTTGGTGGACCTCAGCAACACTGAGACACCCTGTCATATCCTGTTTGTTTGCCAGTACCACCAAAATGGCACCTTGTAGCTCTTCTTCCTAATGAAATATAAGATATACTTGTATTTTCATGTTATCACCATAACATTGTTTTAAAATATATTTTCTTAAAAGACACGTTAATATTAGCTCAAAGCGTAAAATTCGTTTAACAAATATGTAAAATTATTTGCAAGAAAAATGGTACTTACTCGTAACATGTAAATTAATTCATCCTTCGATATGCCTATTCTATCTCTGTCTGCTGAATCTACTACATAAATAATTGCATCTGTGTTCGAGTAGTAGCACCTCCAATATGGTCTTGAAAAAACAGCGTACATTTATATAAGACTGATACTAGCATATACACATTGTGTATTATAAAAGTTGTATGATAAAATTTTAGAATATAAATATAACTTTATTTTCATAAGAATTTTGTATAAAATCAGCTTTTACTGTACATACCGTATACTTGTCTGACCACCGAGATCCCAAACTTGGAATTTTAAATTTTTGTAAGTAACTTGCTCTACATTGAAGCCTATGGTTGGTATTGTAGTTACTACCTCCCCCACCTGCAACCTGATAGACAGCCGATTAAAATTTTATTTGAGATAAGTTTCATGACTCGGTGTGTCTTATGAATATATAAATAACTCACTCATTTGACAAGAATATTATATATGTGCTATTAACACAATGTACAATAATATATAAAGTATAAATTATCAATAAATATATTAATATATAATTGTGTAACAAAGAATAAAGTAGGAAACACAGGGACACATAAAGAATAAATCATGAATAGTTTTTATATATAAAAATATTGATCTATATATAGGATCGGTAAAGATAATCGAGATAAGGAAGTTTTAATGCAAGATTGAACCTGTATAAAATCGTGGTTTTGCCAGCCCCATCTAGACCCAGAATGAGAATGCGCATTTCACGGCTACCAAGTAGGTTACGGAAGTAGCTAAGCAACCCACCTGCAAAGAGACCATCAAAATTTCGTATATTATTGCAGATAATTACTGTAACAAGTAGTAATAAATATCGATAACCGTAGACACGTGAATGTTACGGTATTCACTTTCGCAAAATAATCGGGTTGCTGTGTCGATCGAGAAATCGCTAGTCTGTCACTCACCCATGTTGGCGAAGTGTTAACTTCGTGTCATACGACGCGATCCAGTGTTTATTGTCAAACTTAATAACCACAAACGCGACCAAGCAACCGGGCCGCCCACCTTAACTCACAATTCACTCAGAGGGGACAAAAAGAAATCTGAAAGCGGTCACACACGCGATTCAACCACGATCATATACCGAAGCGCTTCTATATGCACAATATGTGGATCTTGAACTACGTCGTGCACGCTCACAAATTTTCTCAATGGGTAACACATTTTCGTATTTTAGGCCAGTATTTATAGGGTGCGTTCCACATAACGATTGCAACTCCCAAATCGTCCTTCACGCCGTTCCACTTAACGCCCGCGGCGTTCACTGTATACTGTTGTAACTAGTTTTATAACTAGCTTTCTAACGCTTACAATGCCCGCGTTAAGGAAGTGGGTCGGCGTGAGCGTGACGTCATCAGATGACCATATAGGTGTTACTAAATACAAGATACATATACCGCAAATATTACGTGTATTTTTTTGTCAAAATTTTAATAAAAACTATGGAATAAATAACATTATATGACCCAGAAAGTAAGACAATGCATGATATTAAAGTTTTTGCCAATGATGCACGTCGTGCTGCTTATATATATATGTGGCGGTCGAGCCTCACCCGCCGTCACCGGCGGCGCCACCGCCCAGAGCGGCCGTGCGCATGAGGAAGCAAGTTCTGCAACCGCGCCCGGTTTTCTGACCGGCCTCTGCGCCACCCGGCTCTTCCGGCGCGTCGCGCGCACCGCCGGAACCACGAGAGTGTCACGTGACCCCGCCGGCCAATCACGGGTTCTGTGGCGCGATCGTGTTTTGTTTTCGAAGCGTCCCGGCGGTCGTGCCACGACCCCGGCTCGCTCTCTTTCTTCACGGACTGTTGACAGCGCGGACGTGCTCGTGAGTGCTCCCTAGTGTTCACCCTAGTGCGTTCCGTTTCCGACGATACGAGCCTGCGCGTATCAGCGCCGGTGTTCCGCCGCTCGCGATTCCGCAAGAGCTTGGTGCCCGCGAGTGTGAGTGGTGTCCTTGTGTTCCGCGTTGTTCTCTCGACGCCCTAGCGACCGTTGCCCGCGCGACGCCTTGCGTCGCCGATCGTTCTAGCGACCGCTCCCTAGCGACGCCGCTCGTCGCCGATCGCCAACGCGGTCGTCGCCTTCGCAATGTCTCAAGGGAATTGCGTCCTGAGTCGAGCTCCTTCTGTAAATAGCGTCCTGTCTTCTGCGTCCTGAGCCGAGCTTCTACTGTAAATAGCGTTCTGTTTTCTGCGTCTCGAGCCGAGCTCATACTGTAAATAGCGTTCCGTTTTCAGCACCCCGCGCTGCGGCCATTTTGGTTCCCGCGCGGCCATCTCTTGGTGCTGCGCGCCCATTTCGTTTTGCATCGCGGCCATTTTGTTCTACGCTGCGTTCCTTAGTTTTTTAGCACATCGTTTTCTTTTGTTACATTTGCGAGTTTGCACTTAATCAAATACAGCTGCGTGTGGGCAGTCATAAAGACTCCGCTTCATTAGCGCACGCCCACAGGGCTACCTGAACTGGAGTTTTTACTCTCCCTTTCCTTTCTACACGCGCGGTGGCCATAGGCTCTACCGTAGCTCCACATATATATATATATATATATATATATATATAGTATATATATATTTAGATTATAATTGAGATTTATATTGCAACCGGAGGTTCAGCCGCATAAGGGAGCGCGGCTGACTGGAAGAAAAGGGATACCGCAGACTAAAACTAATACGAATGCGAGGGACGATTGTGATTGGCGGGGGCCGCCAGCAAATCGGAAAGCGTCGCGGAAGGGGGAGAACGTTTGAAATCAAAGAAGAGGGAAAGGCGGGCAGTGGCGAGCAGACACTGGAAGCGAGAAGACGCATATTTGAGGAAGCCTAGAACTGCTGAGACGAAGGAGATGAGGGATCATCGAGAAGTTGCTGCCGAAGGGGAAAGCCTGCGAAGACGGCCTGGTGCGAACCTGCTGGTGCAGGCCCAGGAGACGTGGAAGAACGACCGGTCGCCGCTGCGACGGTAAGTGGTGTATAAGATTGCCACGGTTCCTCTCCGCGTAATCTTCCCTTTTCCCAGAAACTCCGCGTCGGAAACCCGAGACGTCGCACGCGCGAAAATACGCGGATCGCGACGTAAGCACACGAAATCGGGGAATTCCGCTAGGGAGAAAACCCATCGTCGGCGGGATCTTAAGGACGGCTCTGCGCTATGTTAACCGACGCGAATTGCGTCACCTTATCGCGCACGGCCAATCTTGTCGGGACTTGCTCACAATAAGGGATACGTCGCAATAGAGCGACAAAAAAAAACCCGCGAGCGACGCCGTGTTGCGATATGTCTTCTTTATCGGCGTAATTATTCGCAGAATACTTCCGTCTCACACATACATATCTATTATATTCTTTTTTGTGGGTTTATCCTATTATCGTTAGTTGCGTCGTATTATACTTATTACTTGTATGTACAGATTTATTCCGTACTTCCTACGTGCGTTTGATTGATATCAAGTGATATCAAGTCTATCATATTATTCTTTTTCTTTTTTTTAGTTTTATTTTAAGTTCTTATAGTATGTATGAATCCGTATTTTTTGTTAATTTGGTTATCATTAGCCGCTTTGGTAATTTTCTTTGATATTAAAAATAGATTTCATTTTATCTGTTTAAAGAGTAAGTGTTTCCTTTTGTTTCTTATCTGCGTGTTTCCCATTTTTCATACTGCGGGCCGCTGACGGGCGTCCCATGGCTCGGACATTCTCTTCGGAGACGATAGCGCGGCCGGGGAGGGAAATCCCATCGTGCACACCTTATCTTACGGCCTATCTGAGGAGATTTGGCCGGTCCAGCTTCCCGGGCCTGGAGTTTGGGCGAAGCGATCAATAAACGCCCTGGCGACCTTGGACGGCCAACGGGATCCGTGGGGAACTTCACTTCTAAAGGTTCGGCGGAACCTGGGAGACTAAACGTCGATGTTTTCATTCAGCTAGTGACATCCGGTCACAATATCATCTTACCTGAAGCAACACGACGTGCATCATTGGCAGAAACCTTAATATCATGCATTATCTTACTTTCTGGGTCATATAATGTTATATATATAATATATATTATAATTAATTATAATAAATATTATATATATTATAATTATGTTATATATATTATAATTAATTATAATATATATAATATATATTATAATTATGTTATATATATTATAATTAATTATAATATATA